AGCTGCTGATACTGGAAGATGATATTTGTGAAAACACACACAAACACACACCTTGAACTTGGGACCTTTTGCATCCAAGAAATATCATTTTTGATACAGCCCTTCTCTGGGGAAAAAAAGTAAGCTGCTCCTCCCTGCAATTCTGAACGAGTAGACGTGATATGTTCACTGGAAATCATGGGAGTTGTGGTCACAGTGGGAGTTGTAGTGCAGTCTGTATTTCAAGGGCACAGAGTACCGGACCGTTGCATCTAGCCCATCGCATCCCAGATTTTCATGATCGTCCTAGCTTTTGCTGGGGGACAGATTCCCAGTTTTCGTTTTTCACCACTTCTCCCTTCCCAAAGTGTTGTCGTTGAAGCTGTCGGGAGGAGTAGCAGCTGCTCAAGACCTAGTGTGTGTGGGGGGGTGTCAACAGCCGAGCCTTTAATCCTGAAGGCTGTTGGGCTAAAAATAGACGGGTGGCTCACAATCAGCCGGGGAGAGTGCGTTGGGCCATCATCACATGAGGGAGAAAGATTGGGAGCAGCTGTTCTTCATGTGACTTATCCTTTGGCCAAACCAGCCCCCCCCCCGCCGCTCCACTGAAAAGACAAGACAGAGGAGCAGTAAGTCGTCTTGGCACGTCTCTGTCTTTCACCTCCAGCCCAGCGAGCTTCCCCACACACACACACACCCAGCTGCATCCTGTACAATGGAAAATAATGCAGGAAAATGACATTTTGTCTGAAAAGGTGCAGATCTTAGGAGAAATTACAGCCAGCCGCCTTGTGCATCTTCTCAAGGAAGGTGAAATAACGACGACGACAATTAATATTGCACTCTACATCAGAGTGTCATCCGATAAAATCCATGAGTAATGGGCACAAAGAGCTGGTTTGGTGGTTCGTCCTGGGGTTTTTTACTGCCACCAGAGTGGTTTGGGTGTTTAGTGCCTTGCTCCCTCCAGTGGGCACCTGTTCGTCCCTGTCCTGCCTCCTTCTGGCACTGCCCTTGAGTGGGCACCTCCTGGAAGGGGCCGGGCACCATCTGGTGGTAAACAAACTGGGAGAAACCATCCAACCAGTGGTCCATGCCCATCTCTAAAATAGGGATGTACAGTGGTGCCTCGCTTAACGATTGCCTCGTTAAACGATGAAAACACTATACGATGACTGTTTTGCGATCGCTTTTGCAATCGCAAAACAATGTTTTAATAGGCAAA